AGCCGCAAGTGGCAGAAATTGTAGCCGCAAGTGGCAGAAATTGTAGCTGAAAGTAGCAGAATGGTAGAATGGTAGCTGGATGTGGCAGAATGGTAGAATGGTAGCTGGATGTGGCAGAATGGTAGCCGAAAGTAGCAGAATGGTAGCTGGTAAAAGGAATCTAAGCAGACAAAAATAGAGGCAGTAGCTGAAGCAGATTTCAAACTGAACAGTTTTGATGGTACTGAAGAAATCTTAATATACCGGTGAATCTTTACATTTTGAGAGGAAAAAAAAGTTACAGAAGCTAAAATTTATGGCACTCATCACCTACAGGAGCTGAATATTTTTGATTTACGAGTGGCTAAAAGTATGAAAAGAAGTTGTATTGTAAGAAAATAAATCTAGAAAAAGAAAAAAAACAGGAAAACATTTTTCACTATGATGAAGTTTGAGATTCAGTTTGAGTTTTTAGCTCATGTTTGTCGTCTCTTTCAGACACCAGGCCGAAGCAACAGAGGACTCCGCAGTTCTGGTGGTCCACATGACTCCAGAGTCTGTTCTGCAGACAGACCAGTACAAAGACTGGATGAAGAGGTCTTTCCTTCTTATTTTAACCCAGACTTCAAGGACAGGCCAGTTGTTGTTGCAGTTTGACACCTGTTCTGTGTTTCTGCAGGTTTCCCTCCACAACAGAACACCTGATCCTTAACGAACACGTGTCCACGATTCATAACATCAGCAGTCACAAGCTCCAGACTCATCTCAACATTATCCACCCGGGCATGTTTCCACACATCAAAGTCTGCAAATCGAAGGTAACCAAAAGACACGGGCCGTTTCATCCAACCAGATCAAAACTCTTTAATCAGAGCAACTAACCAGAGGAAATTATTCAACTGGTTAAAGTCTCGTTAAAATGTAACGATGTTCATTTGTGGTCAAAACCGAGTCTGCTCCATGTTGGGACGAGCACATCGTTTATTTTTTATATGCCCTTCCAAGACGGGACGTAGACTTTCTCTGGTCCCGCCCATAACTTGTGATCCACTCAAGATAATTCAACAAAGCTTCACACACACGTACATTATCACTAGACCGTGTGCCATGTACAGTTTCCATCACCCCTGCTTCAAGGTCAAGTTCACAACCCAAGGTCAAAGTTGAAACAAGGTCTTTGCTCGTCTGGGCCGTTGTTATAGATTGCTGTGTAATAGTTTGTCAACGGGTGATGATGTGCTATATACGGTACTGTTGATGGTATTTATGGTGATACTGATAAATACCAGTTATTACCCTTCCACACGGTCGTTTGGCTGTAAATCAGCGCTGTTGTACTTTTTGTAAAGTCAAGTTCTGAGCCGGAGGCTGCTGTTGGCGCAATTAGTTGTTGTTTTGTCGATAAGTGTTCCTCTGCTGAAGTTCATTTCCCCGTGTGTGTCATAGACTTCCAGGAATGCGGATGTGCTTCTGCTGCTACACTGGACAAAAAAAAGAGCAAAAGATTTAGATCTTATTTTTCTTAAATAACTTTGGTTAAAACAACAGACGTTAGGAAGAGAATGGATCGCAGCCGCTGGGAAACAGATGTGACCAAGTAGCAACTTCGTACCACGTTTTTTTTTCCACTGTGCTAACTAGTGGCTAATATTTAAAAACAGCATTACCTTAAAAACAGTAACGTGGTCGCTGTTCTGGTCAAAAAGCCATGATTGACTGTTCGTTTTTTACAGGAAAAACTATACGAACCATCGGCATCAATAAAGATGGACATAGCACCCCTGCTACATCGCGTTGATCCATTTTAAGCAAAAATATCTGTTTTTTGTTAGTTTGTTTGTTTATTTAGTAGCTGCTGTGTTGTATTTTTGGAGCCATATTTTATACCCTTTACAATAGTCCCGCCTCCACACACTCCCATTTTACCAACAGGCTGTCAATCACAGCATTGCATGATTTTAAAGCTTCAAATAACTAATTAAATCTAAATAGGAGCTACTTTATGTGAATCAACAAAAGTCGACACCGACAAATTATTTGAAGTGCAGTTTTAATTTTTTGTCAGAAAATGTCCCGTTCATTTACATAGAGGGGCGGGGCTTAAACAGTTACTGCAGCCACTAGGGGGCGCTCGCACTTTGTGGCTTCAACTTCTGACTTCTGATCTTGTCTCTAGTTAAAGTTGATGGTACAAGGAGCCATCGTTTTTTGTTTTTTTTCCTTTAATGAGGAGAAAGCTCAGGGAACTTCCCATCAGTGGAAATGTTGCTTTCACCAGACAAGAAAAAATCAGCAGCTAAACGAAATCAAACCACTGGAATTCACAACAGTGTTTTTTAATCCTTCCTGCTCACTGGTCACAGGCCGAGTTCCTAAAGTGAAGAGTTTTTGTGTTTTCGCTCCATCAGGGGTCTCTGACAGATCTGGGCGTCCCTGTGGTCCGAGCCGAATGTCTGCTAAAGTTTCACCTCAGACCAGTACAGCAGTGGCAACGGTGGGTTGGACTTCTCTGCTCTGTGATGGGAGCCGGTCTGGAGTGGATTGTTGCTACACAAAGTGGTGTTTGTGCGTCTTTTTGATCCCGGGTCTCGTTTCCACAGAGACGCCATCCCTTCCTGCAGCCGCGAGGATTTTGTGAAAGAAGTCGCTGAAATCCCAGAATTCCTGGAGAAAGTGGAAAAGTGCAGGGAGATTTGTTCAGCTGAAGCTGCGGAACTTTCTGGTTCGATCTGCGGATGTTTCTTGTGTTTATCGCAGCCAACTGTCGGTTCTTTCAAACGGTGATTTCAAGTGTTTTTGCTACAGATTCAGCTGAAAAGTACCCAGAGATTGTGTTTCTGGGAACGGGGTCTGCTCTTCCAATGAAGGTCCGGAACGTCAGCGGCACGCTGGTCAACATCAGGTACCTCCGATGCATCGATGACGTTAAAATACAAAGCTTCTAACGGACAGGAGTGCAGCAGATCACACAAACCGGCGCAGGCGGTCGCAGTTTGTTGGTTTCCTCTCGTTTTTATCGTTTGTTTTGTTTTTCTGCTCGAAGCCCGAGTCAATCCATTCTGTTGGACTGTGGGGAGGGAACCTTCAGCCAGCTCTGCAGACATTACGGAGACGACGTGGACGAGGCTCTGTCCAAGATCTCAACCGTATTCATCTCCCACCTGCACGCCGACCACCACACAGTAAGCAGCTGAAGGACACGCCCATGCGATGCTTGTTAATATATTTAATATACTATTTATTCAATCTTACTAACTTCTTGGTACTTTGAACTATTTTAGCTGTTCACATTCCAAAACGTTCAGCTCATTGAAGAGATGGGGGCTGTGACGTTTTGGTTTTTGTAACTTTTTTTAAGTTAATTTTTTTTGTTGTTTATAAATATTTTTTCCAAAAAAAAAACACATGAAGGTCTCTTCAGTTTCTTTAAAAAGGTCTTTGAATTCCGCTTCAGCTACTGTCCGTTTTTGTTTTCTGATGCTACATTCAGCTTTTAGCTACCAATCTTTTATATTGGACAGATGCTTTTGACACTTTAAGCTATGAGCTACTGTTCAGCTACTTTTACCTAGCCTTTTGCAATGTTTAGTTTTAGCTACTGTCCAGCTGCTTTTAGCTTTTGCCATTTTTAGTTTTATTTACTGTTCTGCTCATTTTAGCTAGCTATCTGATACTTAGCACTTAGCCATCCTCTTGTTACATTTAGCTTTTATCTACCCTTCTGCTATATTTAGCTAGCTGTCTCATACTTTTAGTTTTTAGGTACTATCTGACTGTATTTGACTTTTGATATACTTTTTGCTTAGTTAGATTTTTGTTTTTTATTTTACTTTTGGCCTTTAGCTAGCTTTTTACCATTTTTAGCTTCTAGATAGCCTCATGATACTTTGTTACATTTTAGAGTGCCTTTTGCTAGCTTTAGCTTTTAGCTAGCCTTTTGCTTGTTTTAGAGTTTTAGCCTGTTTTGCTGATCAGGTGTTCCCACTGTTTCAGCTGAGAAATGTAACTTTTGAACATGTGTTTGTTTTAGGGGCTGCTGAAGCTGCTCTACCAAAGGCGTCGAGCGTTGGTACGTCGGACTCAAACCTGTCGTTTTACTTCCTGTTTTAAAGGAAGTTGCGTTAAAACGGGACCTGCTCTGCGTTTTTGTCTGCAGACCAGTTTGGGGAAGACTTTCAGCCCCATCTTCCTGGTGGCTCCGTCTCAGATCATGTTGTGGCTCGGACACTACCACAACTACTGTGAGGAGATTCTCCATCACTTCAAGTACGTAAGAACGCACAAAACCTCGACTTTGTGCTCTGTGGAGTTCTGACTGTTTAAAGGACAAACGAGGCGGTTAATTAAGATTTCACATTTTCTGTCCTCCACTATTCACTAAAAGTTATCAAGTGTGCTACAAAAATATAAATCAAACAAAGAAACTCCCCTCCTGTTCATTGTTTAATTTATCATGCATGGGGAAGGTCTAATTAGTACTGACCGCAGCAGAGTTTATTTTTCTTTGCAGAGAAGTAAAGATTTCAGACAAACAATGCATTTCATTGAGGACGACAAAGATAATGTTACTAACATTGATATATTTTACCTCTACGTTAGATTTATTGTTCTGGATAAAGTTTTACAAGGTAACAGCCTATGCTAGGTTATCTAAACATTAGCTTGCTAACTTTAGAGGCACATAACTAATGACAAGTGGGTTGAATTTATTTTTATTTTTTAGTTATTTATTTTTTTACAGATCAGTTAAAATAAACTTACTATGCTCTGTTCAGCAAAATACTCTACACAGTATTGCTCCCTGCTTCAGCTGTGCTGAAAGTGAAACTTAAGTGAACAGCCATGACTTGAAAGTAGTCTTCATGCGCCCTCTGCTGGATACATTGTACAATTACGGCTGGTTCCAGCATTTTATATGTGAAATTTAGAAGAGATTATATCGACGAATACTGGAACAATTATCGATATGTCTCCAAACACCTATATTGGCCCGACCAATCAGGCTCTTGTTAAAACCAGATTTTTTCTTGTCCGGGCTGTTGCTACAGACTATTGTACGAATGCTTGTTGACACGTTGACTTGTTTACTACTTTCCTGCTGTGAGAGTTTGCATTGAAAAAATTGTGAGTGCTCTCCTCAGGATGGGAGGTGATTAATTAGTGACCGACCAGTCCGTTCATGTCTGTGACAGTTTGGTAGCAATTTTTGTACCATTACAATGATGGCATCTTTTCAACCTCTAGAGGAGCTGAAAATGGTCAGTCCCACTTCCAAGATGGTTCACTGCCTTCTTAAAACAACTCTTCTCACAAAAATGTCAATTATAGGATGAGATGTATATTTCATGCATTATTGTTTAAACTTTCACATCAGATTAGCTGCTTCTATTTACACCTTCCATTGTAAACTGTGTAATGTTAAACTGTGTAAAGGTTGATAAAATAACAATGTTTTTTTTATAGCTAAGAATTTGGAAACTTGATTTTTTTTTTTTAAATTGTAGAAATCCTCTTTAATCCTAGCAGCTTTTAGACCAGCCATTAGCTCATCAGTCCTGTCAGAATTAGTTTTAATATCCTACCAGGTAATATATTAATTATGATAAAATTACACAACAATCCTCTTAGACAGGCTGAACTCTTCCTTTAGGAGTTTATTCACTTCAGGATGCTCCAGCGTTAACGCTGCGTTTAATCTAAGCTGTTCAATTTTCAGCCTGATCTCAAACATGTCGCTGTGCATCGGCGTCAAGGAGTCTCAAGAAAAGATGCAGTCCTCCTCCATCCAAGCCATGCTGAGCGCCAACGGCCTGCAGGAGGTTTGCTGCTGTCAGAGTCTCGTCCCCGAGCGTCCATGATCCGAGTCTCAAATTGTTTTTCTGCCTGTGTGTCAGTTCCAGACGTGCTTGGCGCTTCACTGTAAGAACGCCTTCGCCTGCAGTTTCGTGCACCAGTCAGGGTGGAAATTGGCCTTTTCAGGAGACACCATGCCCTGTGAATCGTTCGTACACATCGGTAAGAACCACCGGAGCAGACTAACATCCAAACGTCACTCAGAAATGTGCGAAACGCTGAGACTGAGATCACGTTTCAATATTCTCATGTTAACTGTAGCTCCTCTGCTCATCGTCCTGAATAACTGATCAGGGTTCCTGAAAGCTTTCGATCGTTCTGGAGGCTCGCAGCCTCCTAATGACCCTCAGGAGATCTGCTGCCATCGACGCGGCTGAAAGTGCCGGGCTGGACTCAGTCCACGCCGGTTCTTTGTGGAAGCACCGACTGCGGGTCACGATGAAGTTGCAACTTTTTTTTTTTTTTTGTCTTTGCAGGAAAGGATGCAACGGTTCTGATCCACGAGGCGACGCTGGAGGACGGGCTGGAGATGGAGGCTTTGGAGAAAAGACACAGGTGACAAGAACACGTTCTGCTGCTGTGAAGTCGTTATATCCAATTTAGAGAACCAAAGTCTGAGAGAAAACGAGGCAAATCAGATTCGTCAGATACAGAATTCTTCTGTGAAATTATATTTCTTCACTCCACTAACCCTGACGGTATCGTCTGCCAACAACAGTTAAACAAACAAATGCTTTGCAGGGCCTTCCTGAAGGCTCAGGGCCCCGTGTTTTGGTCCCACCCACATCAACATCGATTGGTTAACTCCACCTGCAGAGACTCTGAGCTCAGCCTTCTCTCCTGACCAGCGAGAGCTCCTTCTGTTTCTGCCTGGAGACACGAATTTAAAGGGATCCGATTGGATAACTGTATTTTCATGAATTCTGAAGAAATTATTTCTTAACTCCAAATAGACAAAAAAAGGATAAACTAAAACGAGTTCTTCTTTCAGTTGTTCCCTCTTCAGAGGTCTTCACCGCGAGTCGTCCTCCTCTGTCTCACTGTCCTCCGTGTCCTCTCTGCCTCTCAGATGACCTCGCATGTTCGTTTTAGTTAGTGTTTTACGTCGGGTGCCCTTCCTGACACAACCCTCACCATTTACCGGGCTTGGTACCAGAACCAGATACGCTGGCTTGTGCTCCCTAGTGGCTGCTTTATTTTATATAAAATGAATATTAAATTAAAATGTAATATTTCACATCTGCTAAATTCTTAGGCCTTCTCTGAAGGCGTTGAAGGCCCTGAGGGTTTACTGCTGATAAACTTTGAGTCAGCCCAATTCAAAATGGCCACTGCAGCTAAGTGATATTAGCCTACACAAAAATGGCTGCAACTCTTGAGTTTTACAGATATTGAGCTAAAACTGTGTGTGGTAGTATTTGAGAGTCCTCCACAGCACACACTGTGCGCGATCTCAACAAAACCTTAATTTTATGATGAGCAGCCCTTCAATGTCTTTATGCGCTCGCCTGTTTTCTGTTTGTGTCGTTTCGTGACAGCACGACGTCTCAGGCCATCGGCATCGGGATGAAGATGAACGCCAACTTCATCATGCTAAACCACTTCAGCCAACGTTATGCCAAGATCCCCATCTTCAACGAAGACTTAACCGAGCGGGTGGGGATATCCTTCGACCACATGAGGGTAAGACTCAGTCTCCCTGATTTATTAAAAAGCGCAGCTTTGAACTTGCTTCAGAATAAATATCAAACGTCTTCCTTTCATCCGTTAACGTCAGTGAAGGCCCAAGTTTTAAAATGAGTTTCTCACTTTTCACTCTATATCAGTAAAAGTGACTGAGGTGAAGTCATCTAATGTCAGTTGGTTGTGGCGGCCATGTTGAGGCAGCAGCTCCAACCTAAACACGGGTCCTCTGCTTACAGATCCGCTTCACAGATTTTCAAACCCTTCCCAAACTGATCCCGGCCCTGAAGAGCCTGTTTGCCGAGGAGCTGGAGGAGCTGGAGGAGAGAAGGGAGAAACGAGAGCTGAAATCCTCGAGAGGAGGCGGCGAACAGAACTGGTCCGAGGTTGAACGAGGAGCCAAGAGGGAGCAGGAGGAGGCGACGGACGAGGACGCCAAGAGGCTGAAGCTCAGCTGATCGCACAGAACCTCATACTTCATCCTTATTTTATTTACAAACTCTAAGTTTTATTTGCCTCGAGTGGTTCAACTGAAGAAAATGTTTTGTTTTCTTAAGTGCAGAAAACAAAATGAGTTTTGAGTAGTTTGGTTTTCATTAAGCAGAATAAAACAAAACTGCGCTGGATCATTTCTACGTTCATTCATCCTGTCAGGAACCGTTTAAAAACACAAAGCTAGAAAAGTGGAACTTGCTTCTTTACTTCCTGTTCGTACAACACAACTTTATTTATAAAGCCCTTTACAAACAACACTGTTGGCCAAAGTGCTGTACATTAACAAGCAAGCATAAAAACTATAAAATCAGCTGAAACCATAGAAGTAATGAACTGTTAAAATCATAAAACAAACAGTAAAAACAATAAAACAGATAAATTAGAACAGTAAAACCAACATTTCAAGCGGAGTTAAAAGCCAAAGAGAAAAAAATGATGCGACAGAAATGGTTTGACCTTGGCCAGTTCTCTCAAGTGATAAAAGCTGGATTTGATCACTGACGTAATCTGTGCATCAAGTTTAAAATCATTGTCCAGTCTCACGCCCAGGTTAGTTGCTGTCAGATGTGTTGAAGGATCCAGATCAGCATGGACTTTGGAACCATCACTGGGCTGAAACAAGACCTCGGTCTTTTCCTCATTAAAATGTAAAAATTTCTGACATCCATTCTGCCGTACATTCCAAGAGTTGGTTCATGGACTACTCTTTATATTTTAATGGCGCATAAATTTGGCTGTCTCGTTTTTTCCACCTGCACAGCTAGGACTGTTTGAGGCTGTGCACATTATTTGAATGTCCACGCTTACAGCTGACCTCGTGTTTCTGAATACATTTGCTGCAGATTTGGACCTGATATATATATTAAAAAAAAAATCTAAAGCTGCTGCTTCATTTGAATTTTTGAAAAACGTTGAAGCTTTTGAGGATTATTGGATCAAATGATCCGGTCTGCTAACGTTAAAAGGTGACGTTTAGCTTCAGCTCACGAGGAGCTCCAGGTTCTGATGGCCACCGGCTCTTGGACGTCCTCTGATGTTCCTTCAGACTGTCCTGCTGTCTTCATGATGTTCTTCCAGCAGTAAGGAGGTGAAGTCTTATTGTTAGGCCATCTTGTCACTGTGAGTGGTCGGAGTGTCTCTGAAAGGAGAGGGACGTCTGGTGATCCTGCTGATCAATGTAACGGCGATGAGCTCTGCAGGAGCAGGAAGGCTTTCCATTTTCTTTCTCTGACGCTAATCAGCAGCAAAGAGCATCCTCGACTCTGACAAAGAAGAGGACAATCAGAGAAGATGCTGCGATGAGATTCCATACCGCTTTATTTATAAAGCACATAAAATCAGCAGCAAGGCCGACGAAAGTGCTGCACAACAAAACAAAGGACACAATAAAATCACAGGTAAAGATAAACCAAAAGACTTAACATTATAAAAACGGTGACGTTAAAATCAACTCTTTGCTATTGTTGGGTGTAACTGGACACTGAGGACATAATTTCATCCCACCTCATGTACCACGTGATGCGAATGACAGTAAAATTGACGTGAACTCACACAGTGTCAAAAGCCAGCGAATAAAAGTGAGTTTTCAAACGAGGGAGAGGGAGCCTGCCTGACCTGCAGTGGTAACTCATTCCACAGTTTGGACCTGCAACAGAGAAGGTTCTGTCACCTCTGAGCTTAAAACGGGTTCCTGGAACCAATAAAAGCATCTGCTGAGCTCAGGGAGTGCTGTGGGAGATATGGCTGCAGCAGATCAGAAAGATAGGAGGGGGCAGAACTGTTCAGTGATTTAAAAACATTCAGAAGAATTTTAAAATGAATTCAGAAGTGAACCAGGAGCCAGTGAAGGGAAGCCAGAACTGGAGTAATGTGCTCTCTTTTGCCTGTACCAACTGAGTCGGGCTACAGCATTTTGGACCAGTTGTAATCGTGCGATGGAAGTCTGATTCCAAACAGAAGCACATTGCAGTGATTGAGCCTGGATGTGCTGAACACATGTTTTACTGTCTCCAGGTTACTTTTAGATTTAGATGGGCTTCAACTTAGACACTAAAAAAAAAACTAAAACAGGATTTAACAATAATGTTTATATGACTGTTTAGCTTCACGGAAGGAGATGAACACGAGCTCCTCAGGAAGCCCCAAAGACAGATCTCCAAACAGGAAGTGAAACAACAAACGGTCTGACGTCTCCTTTCATCCAAAGACTGACAGCTCAGTTTGATGTGATGTCACAGCTTCAACTCTTGGGTTCAAGAGCGTCTTCCTGGGAACTTTGGACCGTTAAACACCGATGTTGCATCGGACGCATTGTGCTGCTGCTTCATTAATCTGAAGGCTTCATGAAGTTTGGAGGTCTGTAGCTGCTGACTGCAGAAAAGTGTGGACTTCTGCGCTCCTCAGCACCCATTCTTTCTTTTGTGGAGCCATCTGCACACCCAGGTGCTTCATCTCAAACACCTGGAGGCCTGGAAGAGACGGGAACACCTGACGTCAATAACCGGGTGGAGGAGTGAAAACGGTCAGCATGCAGCTGATAAAACCTGCAGCTCTTCGTTGTTCTTAAACTTAGTTCATCTTTTTAAAAAGTCACCCGCTGCGTTGCACGGCTCAGGAAGTGTGTCGGGGACGACTCGCAGCTACTACCACACCCAACTTCAGCTCAGGATCTGAAACTGACGGGCACGGCCTTCTTGGTGTCTGCTCAAGATTAGCAGTGGCGGCCATCTTGATCATCAGATGTTCATCTTACTTTTGAAATTTGATTAAAGGCTTGTGAGATATTTTGCTAACAGACAAGTCAAAAAATATAAAAATGTGAGAATTGCATTACTAAAAGTGAGAGAGAAGCTTGTTTTGATTGAATTGTTTTCAGTCTTATTTATTAAGTTTAGACTTTGGCGCATTTTGCTCTCAGATTCTGTTTTTATTTTTATTTTTATTTTTACAGATGAATTGTTTTACACTCCTGTCCTCCCTGACTCTACGTTTGATTAAAGTTTGTTGTCATCGATCTGCTCTGCAGGACTCCTCCGTTCAGATGACCCCCATCAGTCCAGGTCAGAGCTGCGTTTGAGGACAGAGTCCCTGCTGCGTTCAGGTCCCTCGGGAAAATCAAAAACCTCCCACTGAAGCCTTGCAGATGTCTCAGAGCACAACTTCAGCAAAAAGATTGATTTCTCTAAAGAGAGTCCCTGAACAGCAACTAGAACAAAAATAACTTCAAATATTCTCAGAATAGTAACATTTTTTGAACTAATGTCACAAGTATTAATACTTTTTGAAAATCAAATTAATTTTTTTCAAATAAATGTGAAAATTTGAAATGTAGTTTTTGCAGTTTTGTGAGTCAGAAGCTGAAACAGTCAACATAAAAGTCAAAAATATTATTTTTACTCATTTTAGAAGTTAAAGTGACGTCCCTTTTAGTCAAAAGTAGCTCAGGTACTTTCAGGCCTGAAAACTTCTTAAAATGTGCATTTAATCCACGCTGATCATGTCTTATTGATTTATTGAATGTTTGATCAGCTTTGTATCCTGCAGATCTTCAGAACCAATGGTTTCTGGACCTGCTGGTTTGATCAAAGATGACTTCTTGTGATTAAAAGTTTGAGATGATTTCTCCTAAAATTCAACAGAAACCAGAAAGAACCCACCGGTGCTTCTGTGGAACAAACCAAATTAAAGCAGATTAATTTGTTGTTTGTGTTTTTTTTAAATTCCTTGCAGAATTCGATAAGGGATGGATTTTAATTTGGTGCTTGGTAAAGAAATAAAACTGTTTTCTTTAACCCGACAGCTTTAAGTGTCCCATTTGTTTAATTTCATCAAAAATCCAAATATCTGCAAAGTTTTCCTGAAATGCAACTAAATCTTCAAGTTAAACCATTATGTTTATTTTAAATTGCTTGTTCATTTGTCTGGTTGAGCAGTTTTAATGGTTCTGGGACACAGAACCTGAATCAGACGTTATAGATTCCTGCAGGTTTTGGATTAACCCCTAATTGTGTTCGTTTAGAATCAAATCGTTTAATTCGAGCCGAGCTGTGAGTCCATCTTTGTGCTGTTGGAAGATCCTGGATCAGGACTTTAATTCAGCTCCACAGAGTCTGACGGCAGCTTTTTGTTGCCTCAGCAGAGGGCGACCTCGCCTCACAGAAAACCTCACGTCTGCTTCCAACTCAGGCCTGAAGGTGAGGAACAGACTCCATGTCCATTTATTCAAGAGACGTGACTTCTTTACTGCAGAGGACTGAAGTCTCAGTGGAGAATACATCTCATGGACTTGTAAAAGATGAAGCTGAAGCCCAGCATCATCATCATCATCAGAGAAGCCAAAAATAAGCTCCCTTCAGGATAAATCATCTGCAGACTTGTTGTGTTGTACTTAATTGTGTTCCTGGTTCTCTATAGGTACACAATATGTTGTTTCTGTAAACTGGCTCTTGTGACATCATAAGTCTAAATTTGAACAAAAGAACAGTTTCAGGGGCAGCACGGTGGCACAACTTGTGGAGATGCTGCCTCTCAGCGACCAGATCCCTGGTTCAAATCTCGGTCCAGGATCCATTCTGGGTGGAGTTTGATTGTTCTCTCTGTGCATGTGTGGGTTTTCTCCGGATACTCCGGTTTCCTCCCACAGACCAAAAAACATGCATGTTAGGCTGATTGGTTGAAAAAAAAAGGTTGAATCATGTTATCTGGACTTCGTTTTTAACAAAACGAGGCCAGATTTTAACAAAAAAACGAAGTCCAGATGACATGATTCAACCTTTTTTGTTGTTATATACCTGGATGACTGAGAAAACAAACTTTGTGTTTTTGAAACCATTAGTGAAAAGGCCAGACTTCAGGGGTATCTGAGGCAGGCTTGAAACACAAGAGTCAGGGTGGCTTCTGGGTAATACCAGATGGCTAGGCCTCAGACTGACAAAGCCTCTTGGATGAGGGGCGAAATGTTTCTTTTTAACAAAATAACGAAGTCCAGATGACATGATTCAACCTTTTTTGTTGTTATATACCTGGATGACTGAGAAAACAAACTTTGTGGACTTGATAAAAAGTTTGACCTTCATCCAAATGTTTTAGATGAACTTCTCTAAGATGTTTAATTTGAACTTGATAAAATGCAGCTTTTCATCAAAATCATAGAAAAAAAAAAAAGATTTTCAGGGGCCAGATGGAGATTGTC